GCAAGAAAACAAGACCTTCTGCAAGTTACAGATCCTGCAATCGTTACGGATGCTGTTCTTAGCTTGAATGATTCAATGAAGCGAAGCTGGCTGTTATAGTGAAAAAAATTACGCTGCATTGCAGGTGAAGCTGTTACCTGACAATTCTGCTCCTTGAAATCCTAAGCAGTGATCATCGAGTAAACACTTCAGTGTTTTTGTTTCTGTTTTGAAGTCTATTACTTACGTCGGCCAGACAAAGCTTTCTTATCTTTGCAGTAGTTTGTAGAAGCTTTATCAATTTTTATAAAATTAAACGGACAAAAGGAATTTTGAAATGATCAAGATGTACAGTAACATGCAGATAGTACCCCTTTTGCAGCTTTTTCTGTGGCTTTTTGAAGTTCAGTGTGACGGAATGGAATCCTGAAGTGTGACTTTATAAATAAAGCAATATTTAACAATCATTCTTTGAACTTGAGGTAAATATTCCTACGGCCACTATTCACCGAGATTGAAAAGAATAGTTGTTTTAGTATATACACACGAAGTGATCTCAACAAAATCAGAGAGGAGAACATGATAGACAACAAGCTGCATTATTCTTGCATGAAACAGGCACTGATTTTCAAACGTGGCAATTCACAAGTTTATTACTTCGCAAACAACAGCGTAATGGCTTAAATGGACCCATTAAAAGTCTGAATTGTTTCCCTACCTGAGAAGAAAAGTAGAGCTTTGTTCATTTTCTTTTGACTTGCTAAGCTTATAGTCAAAAAGGTTTGTTGTGTCGTTCTTCGCATGAACTGCTGACAAAAATGGCGGGTCGGTTGCTCGAGGTAAGACGTCGTCTTCCCATAGCATTCTTTTTCCTGTTTCCCTGAAACGTAGAATTTCTGCAACATTTGCTTTCAATTTTGTTGGTCATAAATATAATTCGATTTTTGGGCCAAATTTCTCTTGTTAGGAAACGCTGAGTTCACGAAACGGTCTCTTCTACGCGAATAAACGGGAGTTGTAAACAATCCTTCGAGCACAAAACTCAGCTACTGACAGTAAATGGAAAATCGCCGTTTTGAATCCTTCGAAGTCTTTTCTTGCCTTAAAAAAAGTCAACCCTAGGATTTTGTCGACTATTAAAAGATCATTTTCTAAAAAAATGGGAAAAACACCGAGCACACACATCCGCTCGCTAGGAGGTGAATATTGTTGAATAGTCCAAGATAACGAACCAATCAGATTGCTTAAATCACCAAGATCACTGAGTGTGTATATACTAATTAGCAATATCTTTCCCCTGCCAGCTTATGATAAGCAATATTGAGCAATGTCTTTCCCCTGTCAGCTTATGACTTTATCCAATGGAAGAAAAGACACTTCCACGATTAAATCAGCTTTTGACTGGGACCAGTTACCGAAAATCCGTCGGCAACACTGCTGGAAAGAACATCTTAAAATCAGTAAAGTTGCCAAGTTTGAAAGTGATTTGTTGCAAACTAACGAACATATAACTCCGCAGAGTCACGAAATTTTACAGACGTTTCAGACGTTTTAATGTGGTGGGCAAGTTCGTGTCACCACCATACAAACAAAACGTCTGTCAAATTTCGCGACTTCGTTCGCTTTGGGCGCATCACCTTTAAACATTGAAAGTGACTTGATTTTAAGGCGCTCTTTCCAGCTGTGTCGATTGATATTGTCTAACTGCTCTTTATCAAAAGGTGAAGTAAAACGTGGAAGACAGTTTGCCACTAAAATCGTGCGAGGATATTTATACCGGCCCAAGCTGTCACCTTTGTCCTCTACTTTTTAAATACACGCTGTTTTCCCGAGGTAGCTTGATTATATTGTAGACGTTCAGAATAGAGTAAGCGTCAGATAGATGTTAATATCAACAAAATTCAAACACACTCTTGAAAGTCTTTCAAACCGTCGTGTCAGTCAGAGAACATTAGCATCACTGAATACCTGATTCGATTTTCCATGAAAAAAAAAGACTTAAGTACGTTGGTTATTTTCTAGTCTTCTCTGAATAAATGTACTTAAAATCTATTCCAAATGATAAATAATTTACTTTTCAAGGATTTAAAAGTTACTGAGGCCTATGTAATGTCGTATGTAACGTGAAAGGCTTAATCCTTTTTAATTTTTATAATTTGGAATGAATTTTTTTATAATTTAAAATGAAATTTTGCTCCAATAAAAATAGCAATATTACCTTCTCGCGGCTGACACAAAACTTTGTCTTTTTCCAATTTGATCGGTGGTTACTCGCGAAAGTTGCACATTCTGTTCGCTATAAAAATACGAAATGTGACATGCCTGATTTCCAATGATACGGAAATTTATCATGCAGGCGCTAAATACAACCAATTGAAATATCCTGCTATTTATCATTTAGGGCAGGTGGATCAGGAAATTTGCTGCTTCAATAGAAAAAAAAACAAAACAAAAGCCAAAAGATTCACCTGGAACAAGTTATATCAATAAATACAAAATAATAGATAGGAGGCTTCAAGAAATTACCAAAGATTAATACAGCAAGAATTACTTATGAAGTTGATATGCAATTTTATCAACACGTACAACCATTATTATCTACTTTTAACCCGTTAGATTGGTGTACAATGAATAACATGAAGATATTAGTAGCAGAACTGATAAATCAGTTTCAGCTTATTAAATCTTTACTGGGGCCAAGTCACGCAAAAGCCTCGTTTCCGTGAAGGTGAGGTTACTGGCAAAACATTAGAGACCTTTTAAAAACTGAGGAAAGCGACGGCGGCGAAAACATCGCTTAAAAAGTGAATTCGCGTTATATATTTATTCAAACGTAATCGACTTTGTTCCGAATCACTTTCTTTGTCAAATGTAGGCGAAATCTCCTTGAATTGAATTCCTAAGAACCATATTCAGGCTCAGAGAGAGAGTAAAATTCGTTGGTCGCTTCATTGCGTCCTCCATAACTACATGAAATAACACATTTTCATGTCGAAGTAGAACAGTGACGGTAAAGAAATGTCCAAAAAAAGGGTTACCACATGCAGAATTGTTGTGTTGCTTATGTTAACCTATTGCTTTTTTGCTGTCCTCTTTGCTCAAGGTCCCTATTGCCGATGGCAAAATTTGTGCTGTTTACAAAGTTTTTTAAAATTTATGTCGAGACTTATGAATGTGAAAGTGTGCACCACAGTTTTATCGTGAAATAGTGAAACGGGGTCTTAAATAAATAGTTTTCAGCCCATGGCAGTGATTCAGCTTTTCTTGTTGGATGAGTTTGTCAACCAAAACCGCATACGAAGTCAGTTGGAATACATGTCCAATAAAACTGGTTATCCTTGGTCGCTGGACTTTTTCCACTTCGTCAATCGTCAACAGAGGTGCAGCGCTCGACTCGACTTGCATGTTTGAAGCAATGTTTTAAAGAATTTTTATTTTGGTGATAGTAAGACTTTTTTTCCTCAGCAAACTGAACTTTAAGAATAAAATGCTGAACGGAGAGCGCGCTTTTATTTTTAAGACATAATAGATTCTACATGAGCCAATCAAGGTTAAAAGCCGGGCAAGCCTGGGTAAGCCTATTGTTCCTATTGAATAAGAGTGACGCTCATTAGTAAACCTATACCGAATTAGTATGCAGGAAGACACAGAATAGCCACTTAATTAGTATAGAGAAATCCACTTTTTTGCGAGGGAATCCTGCATATGTGATGAAGGGAATCCTGTTTTTGCGGGGGAATCCTACATATGTAATGAAGGGAATCCACTTTTTGCGAGGAAATCCAAAGGGAATCCACGAACAAGGCTTAATTTCATCCCTCTATGACAACTATTGAGGAGTAAAATTGATATATGGCAAACATGGTAAATGCCACATTTACATACCAAAAAACATGGGGTGTAAATAACTAGGCAAATGTGGCATTCACCATGTTTGCCAGATATTAATTTTACTCCTCAGTTTTTATATATTTTTGACATATTTGCAAGGAGCAAATTAGAGCAAATCCATTTTTTTCGTCCCGTGAAGTTTTCTACCATTTTCTCCAGCTCTGAGCGTTTAAAGCTCTAAACTGAGCTTTAAACGCAACTTTATCCACGGGTTTTCTTGGATGATAAGCCTTTTCTCTGTCGTTATATTCTGCACTGCGTGTTGAGGTCATTTTACCGTATATCGCAAACAGCTTCCAAATTTGATCAAAGCTAGCTTTTTATAAAGAATAAACCGAGGTTTTGAGCCAATAAGAAATCAAGAAATATTTTAAATGACTATTTAGTTCTATTAGGTTCCTCTATTTGAAAAAAGAGTTGTAGTCTGGGATCGAAACTCGCTTCGCAAGCAGTTATGTACGTTTTGGGGGGGCAGACGCACAGTTACCGTACCAAACACTACTGGTACAAAGATAAAAGGTGACTATTTTTAATTTTATTGAATAACTAAGTACAACACTGAAAAACACAATGATAAAGATCTTTTGTGACTAACACTTAAACGATAAAAAATATCCGTCACTTCTCAGTATTCTCGGAACGTAACCTTTTTTCCTATGCATTTTCAAAGCTGTAGCAGCTTCCTCGCTACTGCGTGATACTTGCGTCCGCTGTTTAGAGTCATCACTTGCTCATATGATACCAAGTGTTTAAATTGACCTAAATATTTGTCCCGTTGAGTTTACGATACGAATATTTTTCCAATGAAATCTGTTGTTAACCTCAAAATTTCATCGCTCAGTATTAAACGGTCAGCGTTTTCACATTCAAGTCTAACAATTTCTACTGTGCTATTAATAATGCCGTTATTCCAATATCAGGTGTCTTCTGTTAGAAGAGAGCCCGGCACTCTAAACTGCTTGCTTTTACTTTCATTTGCTCGCGGTAAATCCAGACTGTAGTTTACTTGTGTCTAGTGCTAGTCTGGTCTACTGAGAAAAAGAGGCGTTATCAAAGGGGGATTAGAAATGGGTTTACAAATTACATAATAAGCCATTGCTTTTGGCTTCTGTCATGAGAGGTTGCTGGATTTATAAATGCTTTAACGCTTCCTCTATATCCACGGCCAATTCAATGGCAGCCGCTACTGCTACAGCGATCAGCGCTATCAACGCCACTCCCCCTGATGCAAAACTTGCGATGATCATGGCGCTCACCACGGCAGCTGTTTTAATCCACCTCCACATTGCCATGTCACTGCACAAAGACTGGATGATCATCCAAAGAAATCCAGCGCCTTGAGTCGCGCGAAGGAGGTGGAAGATAGCTTCAGCCTTTTTCCTCTCGGAGTCTTCAGCGTCCCTCCAACCCACTAAGAACACTTGCACCCCGTTCTGAAAATTTGAAGATCCCCTCATTGCTTTCTCGGTTTTCCTTATCGTGTCTTCCATGTTGGAGGTGTCAAGTGAAATTCCACAAACTTTCAGGACAAGTACCACGACTAGGACGACAATCCTTGCGCACAGAGGATACAACATGGTCCAATTGATATCGTTGCCCGGCGTTTCTAAAAAAAGATCACAATATAAGTTCAGGGCTTCCTGAATCGTCGCTAAAGTGGGCAGTCCACATGGTTTTTTTGAAATCTCAGTATAGTTTCCTTAGACCAAGCGTCTAACATGCTTATTGATTCATTTAGTCGAAGAAAAAATTCCTTGATTGCTTATCCAGCTAGTTTTTAAGGACTCCACAAATAGTTACAAACAAAATAGTCCAAAGACAACATAAGGATTAAAAACCCCAACTAGTAGGAGGCAACCAGTTGGCTTGTACTTACAAGCGTGGCCGAGGATTTGAAGTCGGGACGACCGAGAAAAAATTCAGCAAGTGGCCAGAGCGCTGACCACTCCGCGGCTACGCTTCGTCCTGCCGCTGCTTACTGTATGAAATTTCTCACCATGAGGACGACAAAGACTGAACTGAAACAAATTATCTCTCGGAAATCTCAGACTGGGGGGCTTTGAGGCCCACTTCATTTTTATTTTCAACCCTCGGACGTACACGCAAATTCATACCCCCATGCCACTGTAGGGGAGAAGGGGATTGAAGGAACCCTCTCCCTAGAGTTTTTTTATATGTTGCAGCATTTCGAAAAGATTTTTCCTTCAGTAAGAAGCCTCATGATCTTCTCTACAAGATGAGGTATATTTTGTGGCTGATGGCGCTACTGGAGGCCTGTGACGTCATCAACAATGTTTGCAATCTACGACATCTAAGTAGGCCGCTTGGATTTTACCAAGAATTAGAAATCAGGTTAAAATGGCAAGAAATGCTAGTTTTTGGTGCTTGACATGTAAAATAACACATAAATAAGCACTTTGCATCATTGTATCCACAATCTTTACTTTACTTGTTAAAAGAAGTTGAGAAAACAAACATTTTCACTCAAAATCGACTTGACCATTTGCTACTTATGACGTCATATCCAGGGGCGGATCCAGGATTTTTTTTAGGAGGGGGTGCACTCGTCTCTTTCTCTACTTCAACACCAATAAACTACATAGTTTTTTTTTGCAGAGTACCAGTTGTATTAGAAAACCGCAGGTCATCTCGGGGGGGGGGGGGTGCGCACCCCCTGCACCCTCCCCCTAGATCCGCCCCTGATATCTCCTAACCATAGTAACTGAACGCCATTAACTAGTTTCAAAATGCGTGCGAGGGAAAAACGAACAGCTATTGAAAAGGTCAGGTGCTGATGTTTTATCGTCTAGGAAAAAACTCAGAAAAACCTCAGAGGGGTGTGGCAACGTCCGAGGGTTAAGTTGAATAACTTCAAAACCGTTCAAGCTATGACCATCGATTTTTTCCCCAAAATTTATGTGCAAATATTTTAAAGTACGTCAACATTGAAGTTACCAGGGCAACTGAGGTTTAACCGCCATGTTTTTTAAAATTTGCATTTTTTATAAATAGGCTTTATCTCTATTTTTGATTATTGAATTACTATATTACACATCGCAGCATTGTAAGCCAGGACTGGTACTTCTATTTCTTTGGTTTTGATTTTAAAATTTGCCATCATGCCCAATAAGTTACCGGCACTTTAAAGAAAGCGACTCGTGGTCCGACTTACTCTGGTGTGGTAGTGGTAGCTGCAAAATTTTCTCTTTAACACAATTTTAAATGCATCGCAACCTTCCACAACTTATCTTTTCTTCTTAAATGCGCATCCTTAAAATTTAAATTTATAAACGTTCATCTCTATCAGTCTGCCAGGGATTGTGAAAACCTAAAAACCTAAGCCGAATTGAGTCACCGCAGTAGTTGGGTTAAACGTGATATAAACGTTTGTGTGAATTAACTTAAATATACATTAATTAGACTAATATCAGGAGTTTCTTGAGAACCCAGGCTAAAGCAAAAAACCAGAAAGTATTAGCTTTTATAACTACTTACTAATATAAAACCGACAGTTACATAAAGAAAGATGATTTCCAGAGTCTCTACTGAAACCCAGGATAGAGAATCAAATGACCTGAATTTTCAAAAAAACAGGAAAGAAGAATCTACATGGGGAGTTCTAACAGCTGAAAACCGCTTTTATTATTTTATTATCAAGAACAGCCACGGTCTGATGAAAACCTCGAAGGCGTAAGTTGTCAAATTTGATATCAATTGATTAACAAAAATAACTCCAATATAAAATTGACTGTTTCATAATGAAAGGTGGATTTCCTGAGTTTCTTGGAAACCAAGCATCAAGAATGAAGGAGCTCAATTTTATATGTGAAAGAAAGAAATAATAGAAAACAAAGTGGAATCTGCATGAGTACTTCTAACAATCCTTGTTCCAGTTTTCAAGTCTGGTGATAAAGAGATCGTGAATAACGAGAGAGGAATATGAAAAAGTGTTTTTTCTCAGTCAAGTGTTTTCCCTTTTTTTCAGCCTAAACTTTACCATCCACAGGATGGTTTTGTAAGTGGGCACTCGTGTGTTACTAATCTTCTTAGGTCTACACTGGACTTTGCCAAACCACCGGATGAGAAAAATCAGATTGATGCAGTAGTTTTGGATTATAGCAAGGCATTTGACAATGTATCATTTTAATAACTGTTTGCTGAGGGGATTGCTATTGTTTGCTGTTGGTGGAAGAGGGAATTCGCTCTCCAGGTTTAGAAGCGAAGTTACTTGACAGATCGCTGGCACAAGACAGTTATCGATGGACAGTCATCTATATGGCTACCTGTTTCATATGATGTACCTTAAGGGTCCATTTTAGGGCCGCTGTTGTTTAACATCTACTTTATAAACATTACCCCAAGCGAAGTTATGAATATATTATAGTTATATATGTGAACTGCGAGGTGAAGAATTATGTGAAAGTAGATCATCGCAGTTATAGGTGCAACTTTTGCAGTTGCGAAAGGAAAGCCTATAAAAAAATTCCGGCTTGTACGGGATTCGAACCCTTGACCTCTGCGATACCGGTGCAGCGCTCTACCAATTGAGCTAACAAGCCAACTGGGAGCAGGTCATTGAATTGGTTCATTATAAACCCTTGAAAGGATGATGATGTAAGCTATGAATATTTGAAAGTCATATATGTGAAATGCAGGGTGAAGAATTATATGAAAGTAGATCATCGCAGTTACTGCTACCGATCTACCGCTACTACATTAACTTGGGAAGGAAAGAATGAAACATTTAGCGTTCTTGTATAACTTTCAGGTGCACCTCACTACAAAAAATTCTCAGCAATAACTGTTTCTTTGAACTTACATTTTCGACTTGTGTCATAAAAATCAGTTCCACGACCAGCTTTAATCATTAAGACATTATCAAAGAGAAGTCTAGAGAGTTCGATCGTTAAATTAATATCATTATATTTATTACAAACACTTCAATGTCCATTTAGATATCCATGTTTCGCTGTGAGGAGCACAAAATCTAAAACGCTTTCTTCTTCTCAATTCTTTACGGACAAAAAACATTGTGTAGCCGATTGTTTAATGTAGTTTTGGTATGTATAAAAAAATATTGACAAAAAGGCATTCTGTTTTACCCTGTTTTCTTTTATATATTTGACTCGAGACTACCGTCAACGGCGCATAAGTTGAAATTTACGTGATAGATTTTATTCGAAACCAATAGATCTCTACTATGTCCGCTGGGTTCTCAATGCCAGGACAATGGTTCCACATGCTCTCTTCGGTTAAAGACAAGATTTCATTCACACGATTTTGCACAAACTGCTTCCACTCCTTCTAACCCTTTATCCAGCAGATTGCAGTCTTGCTGTCTAGCCACAAGTGTGTCTTATCAATTGTAATCTGTGACGCCAAGGCTTCTTTAACTGAGGACACCAATCTTGCTAAGATGACCCCAGACAGTAATTCGAGTCTAGGGATAGACTGCCTTGTCAGCGGTGCCACTCTGGTTTTGGATGACAACAAAACTGGAAAAAAATCACCACTCACTTCAAGAACCAAGTAAACAACAGCACAATAAGCCTTCTCTGAAGCGTCCCCAAACCCATGAATAACATACGACGTAACACCTTCCTCTAATCCAGCATACACACACCTCGGTACTAACACTCGCTGCACCTCTCTCAAGTCCTGAAGCCACCTGTTCCACTGCTTCCGGGCAGACTCCGGGAGTGGCGCATCCCATTCAAACTTGTCCTGGCAAAGAGACTGAAACAAAATCTTCATTTCCACCAGTATTGGACTGAGTACTCCAAGGGGGTCAAAGAAACTTGAAGTAACCTTTAACAAGTTTCTCCTGGTCGGCTCCAAGTCTTCTGAAAGTCTCAGTAAGGCTTCAAATTTAAAAATGAACTCATCAGTAACACAGTTCCAATTAAGACCAAGTACCTTGTGTTCATCCTTCATATCAAGCTTCCCCAAATGATTGACAGTAGTTTTCGCATAAGACTCTGTATCCTCCACTACAGCACAAGTTCCGACAGTCCCAACTTGGTCCTCACAAATCAATTCAAGCAATTTAGGCGAATTTGAAATCCACTTTCGCAAGTTAAACCCACCTTCCAATAGGCACTTCTTAGACTTCTGATAAAGCGACAGACACTCCCCAACACCCCTTTCTCCTGTCACCAAATTAAATTGAATTATGCGTGTGCTTTTAGCCAATCAAAAACGGAGATATATTTTGAATGAATAATAAATACCCTCACCCACTTGCAGTGTTTTTGTACCCTCTTGCAGCGTTTAGTACCTTCTTCCAAAATATCTATTCTTTTTCTTATTTTCTCATGACATCAATTTCTTTTTCATATTTAGCAATCTGATCCTTATTTTCCTTTCTATTATTTTTTGTTGTAGTTCCTAAGTCCTTATTTATTTCACCGACTTTATTCGATGTTTCATTTGCATAATTTGGCTCTTTTAACGTTTGCAAAAAAACATCACCTGTTAGTGGTAAATCCTTATTTTGTACGAAATGTGGAAATTCTGGTTCTGGCAAAACAAACCTCTTGTATCACATTTTGAGGAAACCATTAGTTTACTATGACCA